TGGACTCCACCTCCCAGAATTCCCCAGCCAGCATGGCGGGCTGGGGAATTCTGGGAGTTGAAGTCCACCCGTCTTAAAAGTTCCCAAGGTTGAGAAACACTGCTCTGGAATAAAGCATTAATGCCTTCCCCTCTCCCCCTCTAAAACAGCCTCTTTTGCAACTAGGACATTCTTCTGCTGCCTGCTTTGGCCAATCACTTGTTTCTATCCATGGATTTCCTTCTCTGCATGCATGATGATGAATGGGTGTGGACTACAGGAGGACTGACTGATAGGAAACATTTGTGGATCAGCAGGAACTCCTAAGAAGAGCACAAGATGGAAACTTTTGAGGAGACCACGCCCTGCATGAATGCACAAAATATGCATTTGTTAATGCCTTTGTGATGGAGGGGTAGCAAATTCAAAAGAGCTGGTTGATATTAAGTTAACATTGTTAACTTTTTTTATACAACCTACAAGGGCTGGGTTCACACAGAACACAGCCATTATGGGAAGGTTCATGTATCACGTTAAGCAAATGGCCACCTTATGGATTTAGTGTTATGTATAGATCAGGCAACTGGCAAGCCAAATTGGCTACTGGATAACCTCTGACAGGGCAATGAAGTGGAAAGAGTGCAGAACATAGGATCTGGCCAATCAGACTGACCTAGAAAGCTAAGCAGAGTTGGCTCAGGTTACCATTTGGATGGGGGACTATTTGGAAAGTCCAGGACTGCGTATCTATACCTGTACCGTGGAAAGTCGGAAGCTACTCTTTCTTTCCTATGCTCCCCTCTTCCCCCCCTTTTTTCTTTTTTTCCCTCCCTTTTTCTTGATTTTTCTGTATTTTAACGTTTGTTGAAAACATAGTAAAATTTATAATTAAAAAAAGGAAAGTCCAGGACTGCAGACTATTGTAGACTAGGATGTTGAAATCCTGCAAGAGGCATTGTCAAAGGCAAACCACTAGAAACCTGTGGCCATGTAAGGCAACTTTACTTATACTGTATTAGTTCAAAAGTTGTCTTCTCATTTTGTATTATTGTTCACAGATGACACATTTCAGCTGAAAAGAGAAGCTTTGGGTTTTTTGAAGTTGTTACACAAGAGCTAATTTTGATTTTATGTGTAATTTCTATAATACAGTAGTATTCTCAGTAAAGTATAAAGCTAGACATAATCCAGCTGTATTTATAAGCAAGCCAAAAACAGTAATGTATCTCCAGTTTAGATGGTCTAAAGAAAATCACAATCATGAAACTTCAGGACAGTGATCAGTGTTTTTCAAACTTGACAACTTTAAGATGTGTGGACTTCAATTCACAGAATTCCCCAGCCAGCATGGCTGGCTGGGGAATTCTGGGAGTTGAAGTCCTCACATCTTAAAATTGCCGAGATTGAAAAACACTGCTACACACAATAAGGAACTCAGGAGAACAGCAACTCTTCCAAAGCATACAGTAAATGCCTCAGTATAACTGGAAAATGTATAGACACAAGAAATCTTAAATACGTGCCCAATATAACAATAGAATTTTTAGCAAGGTCATTATCCATGGATTAATTTGCTGAAATCTATTTTGTAAGCATCCACTGCCATATGAACACCCTTGAAATTATTCTGTTTTGCAGTCTCTGTGCTAGGCAATAAATAATTTTAGAATGGTCATCCGGTTGTAGAATTTGGGAGTAAAATGGAGGAACCTTCATAAAACGAGCCATGCTCTCCAAATTGCCCCATTTTTACTCAAATCACATCTCTATTATACTTTTCTTTAATGAGTCATGAGAAAGAGGCATCACAAAAATAATTATGACAAGCCATCTCTGCCTTGAATGATTCAAATGATGGTGTCAGTTCACCACAAAAATTGATGTTGATCCAGCAGTAGTCCTCTTTGCTGCCATCTTACAGCTTTGTTGATGAGGATGAATGACTCAATGAATGACTCAATGAATTAATGAATGAATCAATAAGCAAAATGTTGGAAAGCAGTTAAGATGCTACTCAAAACTTTATAGATAATACAATGTCAATATTTCTCAGTGTCCAAACAACAAGCTTAACCAAGATTTAGTGACTATATTTGTACAACACGCTGAGACTGGCTACATTTTTTGGTGGGTTTGGGCTCTTCCTCATTTCCCCCTAACCATGGCAGAAACATAGTATCTTGGTATTTTTTTAATGCCATGTCCTTATGGTGTTATCTTCACCTAATCTTCACCTCCAGCTACATCCACACCCCTCCAGCTAAAGTCATGTTTAGCTGTTCCAGATTTAACATAGTATTTTCCCTCTTTTCCCCAATATAGTTTTTGCCATTGATATGATCTGACACACTTCAGTGATGAGGTTAAGATCTGCCTGGCTCCCACTGATTACTTTAGGCTGCTGCAGGGATGCCCCCTCCCATCTAGTCTCCAGGAAATGCCTTCCAGGTTGGCTTGGCTTTTAAGAGAGAATGGACATCTGGCTTCGGCAGAGGCATCTGCTCACATAATACTTATCTAGCACTTTCCTAAAAGCTTGCAGGTCTTAGATTGGCTCTTATAAATATGGGTTTAGTGCTCTTTTGAAAGAGTGCTAGTCCCATGCTGCACAGGTTGATTTAAACTAGGAAAGAGAGCCGTGTTCTGATAGCTGTATGTTGCTCATTTTGTTCAATTTCAGGTTTTCCACTGTTTCGGCCAAAAATAAACTTTGCATAGCCGTGCTGTTTTTATTCCTTTGGGGGTACATTTTGCTTACTCCATTCTGTCTTTAGTGGGGCTAGATGCTATGGTGATAACTCTTGTAATTACATGTAGGTCAGTCGCTATTCTGTGTTCCACATGGCCATCTACTCGGTTTTTCTGGGCACTGCTGGCAGTGAGGTCAGAACTGGACTCCTTGGTCACTCACTGCCAGCAGCACTAGTTGAGAACAGAGGTTGTTTGTTATCCTTGCCTCCTGCTTCACTCTGCGCCCCACTTCTGTGCTATCTCCTACACTACTTTTGTACATGAGTTTAGCACTCTTTCAGAAGAGCACTAGACCTGTGTTCAGCTTGACTAGTAGGTCACATATGTAGAGATAGTTAAACTGAGCAGGTTCACTGGGGATGCTCACCTTGCTTCACCACATTTGCTCCTCCACATCAGTAACCTGTAGGTCAAGCACTTGACAGGTAGCTAAATGTTCTAAGCACTCACCTACATATGCCTCACCCTGCCTCACTTCACATTAGGGTTAATTCAGGACAAGGTTGAACTTGGGTGAATGCATCATCTCAGTTATGGATTGCTCATGATAAAATTAGCACCTCTAAATATGATTGGAAAAACTCCTTTAGGAAAGCCATTGCCAATCACTCGTGGCAGTTTGGGCCTGGATAACCCAGTGGCCTAACTCTGTTTTTGTTCCTAATTCAGAGCATGCTCATTTCACTAACTGTCATAATTATTTCTGGAAGCCCGGTGAACTGTACTGAATGCTTTGATTTCAAGTTTTAAGATGGAGAATTTTAATTTGTAATTTTATTTACAACAATATTTTGAGGACTTGTTAAAGAATATCAGATTATCCTACTTTGGAACATTGTCCTTTACTGAATGAATGAATGAATGAATGAATGAATGAATGAATGAATGAATAAATAAATAAATAAATAAATAAATAAATAAATGCAAGTTTGTGCATACAGACTAGCATGGCATCAGGAAAAAGATTTGTAACCTCACTTTCTCTACTTTTCTATATGTAGGGAGTGTTGTTGAGGTAGGTGGTTGCAAGCTGAAGCATTCTGTGGCCATCTGCAGTGGTGGAGTCAATGCACAGGCCTATCCTGTTTTGTAGAGCTGGACCTTTCTCCTTGGATTTAAACATACTGGCTGGATTTTTTTTCCCTATAGCCATATTTACAAAGCACTTGGGTTTTTTCACCCCCCTCACTTCTTTTGTTTTGTCGGTTATGTACTTAGGAAAGCCCACTTACAAAGCTTAAAAGTACTGTGTTTACCCAAGCACGCTTTGTAATAGTGTAAAAAGAGCATAAACAACTATATTTGTCTGAGAGAAAGATGCATATAAAATACACAGCCATGGTGGCAATGCCTTTATTAGGGCCAAGAAATGTTTTACTAGAAAACAATAGTGGCATTTCGGTTGGTTATTTATGCACTTTTTTTTTTAATAGACCCAAATAAAGCTATTGCCTCAGGCAGAGCTTTTGGCTATGTTCGCTTTACATGTTGGCAGCTGGTTTTGCACAACTATATTAATCTTAAACTTGATTAATGCAAAGCCTAGCTCAGCTTTTGTGACTTAAGAGTAGTGTGTGACCTGTTCACTTGTTTTAGGTTTAGTGTATTGTGTGAACCCAGCAAACGGATTGTTCATGTCCAGCCAGATTAAAGGAATTGTTATGAATACAGGCAATCTCTGTGGCCCTTTCGGTAGGGTCAGATAAAGGTGTCCTCCTGCTACAGATTCGTCCTAGTACAGATTCGATAACCCGGCCTTAAAATGGAGGTGGATCCCCACAGCATCAGTGACCCTGCCCGCGATTCCGGGGTGACACGTCTCCAAAGAGCTGGAAAATATAAGGGTGGGCAAATGTCGGGGAAGGGGCGTCCACGGGTAATCCAGTTTTGGAGCAAGGACACGTGGGGCGGGTGCATGTGTGTGCGTATACACGAGGGCTTAAACCTCCTCCCCCAGTGCCAGTAAGGCGTGAAACAGCCGACACGCGGAAGGGATTGGATTACATTGTCATGATCACTTTTTTTAATAATTCATCGGCGAGGTAAATCCAAAAGCTGGCGTAGCCGAGGTTCCCTCCCCATCGCATCCCTTCCTTCCTCTTGCAATTGGACTGATTGACTCAGTGCATTTTTCGCTTATTCGGTAAAGGGAAGGCAGCCGGGGGAGGGGGGGGGGGCGTCGAGAGAGAGAGAGAGAGAGGAAGGACGCGTCGCTGCCCTTTTTTTTTTGCTTCCTTTCCTGCCATAGCAGAAAACGAGGGAGGTGCGAGGAGTGTGATCACTTTAAGACCCAGCGGTTTTTCCCCCCCTCTCTTTCTCTTCATTTTCCCCCTTCTGCTCTCCCCCCTACACTGTTTTTTTTTTTAAAGGAGCGACAGGCTGTGGCGTTTGCAGAAGGGTTTGGTCTCCGTAATCGCGCTGCAAAAGCGAGCGAGAACGAAAGCGACAAGGAGGGAGAGGAAGAGGAGGAGGGGGGATGAAGGGGAGGCGTAGCACATCCGACGAGCCGGCTGCAATGGGCCTCAGCTAATCCAGACCCTTCGGAGGATCTGCCTTCCCGCTGCCACCGCCGTGGGTCAGAAGCTCCCTGGATCCGGTTCGCTCCCCGCCGCCCCCGCCGCCGGTTGACCACATTTTTCCCTGCCGCACAATGAGCGCTGCCTGGTAGAGAAGAAGCGGCGTGCCGCCTTGCCCCCTTCGGGCTCTCGCGATGTGATTCTGGTGCAGCTGCTGGAGGCGGAGGAGGAAGAGGAGGCAGGGTGGCCCGGGGGTGGAGGAAGCCTGAGGCTATGTGGTGTCAGCGACACCAGAAGATTTGGTGAACCATGATGAAGACCGAGTCCCATAATAGTCCTGGGGGCAGTGGCAGTAGCAGCAGCGGGGGCAGCACCGGCGGGGGCAATGGGGCTGGAGGCAGCCTGAGGAGTGCCTCGCCTCACCGGAACGCCTACGAAGCTGGCATCCAAGCTCTGAAAGCCTCCAAGGATGCCCTGGGCCATGCTGACAGCGAAGAGGCCAAGAAGGCCAGGAACAAGAAGTATGGGTCCAATGTCCACCGGATCAAAAACATGTTCCTGCAAATGGGCACTGCGCCGCCACCAGGGGAGGGAGCAGTTGATCTGGCCAAGATGAAGGAGAAGCCAGTCCGGTTGTCCTTGCCCCGGGCCAGCAGCCTGAATGAGAATGTAGACCATAGTGCGTTGTTGAAACTGGGCACCAGCGTATCCGAGAGGGTAAGCCGGTTTGACTCCAAAACAGATAAGCCATTGTCCAAGCTCCAGGAGACCCGGAAGATCTTTGAGAGGAGCCTCCAGGAGAAGGAGACCACCAACAAACTGCTCCTGAGGAAAGAGAGAGCTGGCTTCCAGGACAGGAAGCTGGATGTGGTGGTGAGGTTCAACGGCAGCACAGAATCCCTGGACAAGCTAGACACAGAGGCTGTGTCTCCCACTGTAAGCCAGCTCAGCGCTGTCTTTGAGAAGGCTGACCTAAGGAATAACCTCCATAAAGCCCCTGGCAAAGTTGGGCCTCTCAACTCCAAGATTGTCAGCAAAAGGTCCAGGGTTTTCCTCCAGGCTCCAGAAGGAGGTGCCAAGGTAGAAACTAGGAGTAGTGATGGGCCTACTCTCCAAGTGAGAGCAAGGTTGCCTGAGACTGACAAAGCCCAAAACAAACTGGTGCCTGGTGGGTCAGGAGCAGCGAAGCCTGGGGACAAGGATTCCAGTGTGGGGCTACGTCCTCAGAAGGTCCAAGAGGTGCGCAAGATCAAGCCTGTGGAAGTGGAAGAGAGTGGAGATTCCGAACAGGAATTTGAGGCAGCTGAGGTGGCAGTGGCGGCAGCAGTGGCAGATGAGAACAGCAAGGCCTCTAAGGGGCCCGACCCTCTCAGGGCAGAGGTGATTCAGGCTGAGGTCACGGTGCACGCGGCTTTGGAAAATGGCCAGCTGGGTGGCGAAAGGTACCTAGAAACTCCAGTCCCGTTGGCAGACACTTACTGTGAGGAAGTGGCCAAGGCCGAGGGACCGGAGGAGAACGACCTGGGTGATGAGTCTAAGAAGGAGGACTTCTCCGAGGCTGACCTGGTGGACATTAGTGCCTACAGTGGACTGGGGGAGGACTCAGGAGGGAGTGGGCTGGATGAAGACGAGGATGGTGATGGACTGTATGCACCGGAATCCAGCTGTGTCGAGATCCCTGGGCTGTCAGAAGAGGACGAGGCTGTCCCTAATCGCAAGATCCACTTCAGCACAGCCCCAATACAGGTAGGCCTTTGGACCCAATATCTTTAGCAACTGTGAAAGACACCTGGATTCTGGGAAGTCCAGTGGTCCTTGGACATGGGTGTTCTTATCAACCTGAATGAGAATTCCAAGGATCTGTTCTGGGGCCTAATTTTTGCAAAATAGCAGATGAGACTGAAAACCTATGTTCTGACTAAACCAGTTCAAGGTCTGTAAGTAGGGATAATTAGGAAGACTCCTTTTTTCATATAGAATTGCCATCCATTCATTAAATACAGTTCTCTACGTGAAAGGAACTAGCCCATCCGGAAGGCATTTTCAAACCACACATTCTCCCTGGTGTGCTTCTCTTCTCTATATGGAGAAATTTGTGCAAGGGAGGTTTTGCAGGGAGGATCATTCAGATGTGCAAATCTCCCCCTCCCATCTGAAATAGCAGCCAAGTTACAGGTTTACCCCTTGATTGCAAGAAGGCCTACATCTCTTAGGCAAAGAGGGCCTTTCCCCCTAATCCTCACTGATATCTACCCTTGTAAGGCCTTGATTTTTCAAGGCTTAAAACAAATGCCCCATTAATTCATTAAAATCTGTCAGGAAAGGGTTTATGCTGGCTTTTGTTGGTGCACTTAAATATTGAAGGGAGAATATAGCAAAACTCTTCTATCCTAGAAGTAATGGAACAAGGATACTTTTGACAGGATTAGCCTTTCACTGAGTTAAGAACTGAATTAATGAATCACTTTTGCAGGGTGTACATCTGCAAAGGTGGTTTTAAAAGAATGGTACCAGCTAATGTCATGATGGAAAGTGCCATCATGGATCTCCCCAACCATGTTTTTCCCCCGTCTTGTCTTGCATGGAAAAACCAGGAATGGGAGCAGCAGAGAAGGGATGGGGACTTCAGACCATTTCCCTGCTTCAAGCAGACAATTCAACAGACTGAGAGATGCTGAAGTGTCTTGATTTTACAAAGGAGGTTGGGAAGAGAAAAAGGTGTTCTTCATCCTCTTTTTTGCAAAGCAGTGCTTTTATGAAACACTGAGGGTTAGGGAGGGTTTATAAATGGACCCGTTTGCATCTGGCTGCTGGTAGTAAAAGGAATAACACATTTGATGTGAAATCTCAGTTTCTCACACTTCATCCATGGGGTTGGGGCTATGCATTTCTGGGGGTGGGGGAATTAAGTCGCTGACACAAATGAAGGAAGACGCACCATTGCAATCTGTTTCTTCCCTCCCCTTCCCCCTTGGACTCTGTTGATTAACTACATTCCCCACCCCCACGCTCAACACCTTGCAAGAATGAAAGATATCCCAGGCGTAATTTCCCAGTGCCAACTGGGCTTCGTTTGACACTGAAGGACCACTTTGCCAAGGTAGATCCAGAGATGGGAGGGCTTCTGCCTTTCCATGGGGAAGGGCAATTGAATTGAAAGAAAAATGGACTCCCATTTAGACAGATTGGTGCATGCAGGGATGTAGCTTTTGATGGAAGCTAAGATGAGATTGGCCAGGTTTGTTTATGACAGTAAGCCATAATAAGGTTTGTTTGATTTCAGCTCAGTATGATGCATGAACCAAGTGATTGGAATTTGTAAATCATGGTTTAACTTTGTGTTATGGTATGATTTGTACAAGGCTGGGTTTACTCATGTTAATCCAGGTTAGTGCAGGGTGCGCAACGCACAGTGCCCAAGTAAACTATGCTGGCTTATTGTGGATGCATATAACATACGAAGATAATGGCTGGGTTCCCAAAACATGCGGAACCACAAGCTACCCAACCTCATATTGGCCTAGTCTAGCATATTGTGTAAACCTAGCCCATTTGGTAACTTTGCAGCTTAATATGATTTGTTAATCCAGAAATTATGTCAACTAGGGCACTGTCACTGGATCACATACCATTATTAAAACATGCCATGGGTTAGCACAATGAGAACAATATTTTCAGCCATAGATAAGAAACTGGGAGTTGGGGGTTAAGTTTCTGCAAGCTGGAAATGGGCATGAATAAAGTGCTTCACCACCAAAGGTAACTTGGCTCCAGTCAGTATAAGGTTAGAAGCACCCTGAAAAAGTCACAGTGTTTCTCAAGCAGAGGTGGCGTGAATATTTGGGTTCTTGGGAGCTAGCCTAGATAGTGTTTATTTTTTGGTGGGTATCAAGAGAGAAGGGACATGCCTGACTGGCAAGCTTTTGTGGACAATTAATCCATTCAATTTCCCAGGGGATCCAGAAGAACAAAAATGCACTCCATGTGTGAGCCTCTTGGTCAGAAGGGCTGAGCAGTTGTAGCCCAACGCATTTGGATACTAAAAGCTGGCCACTGTAACCTTTAGATACATCTTTCTTGGCACCTATTCCCAACTCCAATAACTTACATTAAATTAAATGTAATTTTTTTTAAGTAGTTTTTTTTTTTTAAAAGGAAAGTTGGCATTCTGCAGAGCAAAGCATCTTCAATATCCAACTTCAGTATCATCTTAATTTCAAAGAATATCTCTGGATCTTATAAGCTTTCTTAGAAAATAAAAATAAGGGATGGATGTAGCTTGCTGCTTCGTCTAGAAGTGTATCCTCTTGTACAGTAACACGAAAAATGAAAACAGGCATAGGAGGAAACATTCCACATGAGGTGGTGGGTAGGGAGAGGTAGAAGGTAACATGTTTGTAAATCAGTGCTTTATAGCTGGTTATGTTCTTCTATTGAAGCCATTTTGTAAATGGACAAGCCTTCCTAGCAGCACAAAACTTTTAGGGACCCTTGCTGTAGAAAATTGAGGACTGCCATTGCCAGGCTGCTTGACACTGTGTGAACTTTTTTGTAGGGAGACTCTGGGAGATTGTAATGTTAAGCATACGATGTGCCATATTGGAGGCTGGAAAGAATTTGCCCCAAATTATGTTAAGAGAGCCTACATTAGAAGTTATATTTGTTTTGCTTTGTGCTGTAATAAGTTTGCAAAAT